GTCCCCGTTTCTTTCCCGGGAACCCAGAGCCTCGGCCCCACTTCTTACTTTGGTCTCTACCCACCCACCTGCCCTGCCTGGGTCCCAGCGCTCCTTTCTTGTCCTTTGGCCCCCCGCGCCCGGCTGCGGGTCCCCCGCTGGCTCAGGAGCGCAGCGCAGGGTCCACTGGTGAAGTTCTCCCGGGGACTCCTGGGCCGGCCAGGGAGGAGCGGCCACCCCAGGCTCTGCTCAGCAGCCGGTGACCTCACGGAGGGTTTAGGCACGTGATTGGCTACTTCGGGGCTCTCTGGCGGGAGATCCTGAAAGGATTTCGCGGGGCCAGTTTCTTTGTCCCTGTGCCTGTTCGGTCTGGGTTGGAGAAGCAGGCCCGCCACACTTCTGTACCCAACACACACAGGTTTAGGAGCTGCCTGTGAGGAAGAAGAGAGTGACTCAGGCCCAGGAGGAAGAAGAAAGGAGTTGTGTCGTGCCTGAGCAAGAGGGGGGGGGGGCGGAAGGCCCAAAAGGAAAACTTAAGACTCAGCACCCCACAAGAGGTGACAATCTGGCAAGGCACGTTGGGGCTTTTTCAACCTTTGACCTTGAACTCGGAGATAATGAGCGTCTCCCTTTGAAACCAATAGAGCTTTGTATTTGGAATCTGGACGTTTAATCTCCAGTCTTTGTTCTAATTTGTAGGACCTTAGGCAAGTCATTGGTTATGCTTCCCAAACAGGAATCATGCCAGGGTACTTATTTTACAGATTTAGTCAAAGGATTAAATGTGGAAGTGTCTTCTAATTATTAAACCTGCCGTTATTTTGGTAGATAATATGGTGCAGCAAAAAAAAAAAAAAAAAAAAAAAATCCTGCATAAGAACTGAAAAATCTCTGGTTATCTATCATGTTTCTGTACTGCCCTCCACCAACCCACTTATAGTCTCTCTGGGCTTCACTGTCCTTATCTGTGAAATGGAAGAACTGGATGGACCCGGTGATCCTTAAGATCTCTTTGCCTCTAGCATGTGATAAGACGTAGCATCCTCCTCTAATTTACCCTGTCAAAGGAGAAATCACTTCCTTTTTTCAGGCCTCTAGTTAATGTCTCTCCTTTCTCTTAGGTATCCTGCTGAGCCTCCTTTCCGTAGGGGCCTAGCTTCTCCCGCATCCCCACAATGAAAGTATAGACCCAAACTGTAGCAGTATATGCAGGGCTCATCCTTGATGGAGATTCTCTCCCCAGGCTACTGGCAGGAGCAGGATTTGGAGCTGGGAACTCTGGCTCCACTCGACGAGCCCATCAGCTCCACAGTCTGGAGCAGCCCTGACATGCTGGCCAGTCAAGGTGAGAATCCAGGCCCCTCATGTCAACGTCCCTCAGATCCCTGGCTCATCCTCACATCATCCTCCACTCATCTTGCCTGCACACCATGTCCTCACCACCCCCCTCATTACCACACAACTTTTTCCTCCTTCCCATTTGACATTTAGTTCTTAGTTCTGCACCAGCAAGTTCACGTGCACCTGCTCCTCCTTCTTCCCTCACTCCAGTACAGAGACCTCGGTACCCCTACACCTCTTTCCAAAAATAAAATGATTCCAGAGAAATAGGTTACTCAGAATAGAGAGGTGCTGGGAAGATCCAATCAAGGATGATCAAAAGGAGCCGGAGACAAAGGGATTACTAGCTAAAAAATTGTTCTGTGGCTGTGGTAAATCAAAGGTTTCTCAAACCTTTCACGGAGAGGTTTTAAGAATATATCACTTGCAAATTTACTCAGCCGGCTCAGTCACTGGCAAGCTAATCTCAAAATCATAGTTTTATTTCTCAAGTTAAATAGTTACTTTGAGAAGCAATCCAATAAAAAGAGAGACAGACTGTAGAGTTCCAGTCCCATCTAGAATTAGAGTGACCTTAGAAAGTCATTTCACCTCCATTTCCTCACTGCCTGTACAATGAAGTAATTAGATTCCATGATTCTTAAAGTCTTCTTCATTGTTGTTCTTTTTATTGTATTTATTTATCTATCTTTCTTTCTATTTATTTTGAACATTCTAAACAGTAAAAGTAACTACCAGGCTTTGTACTCTGATTTGGAAACAGACACCCTGACTGGTGGATGCTTGGTATCAACTCCAGCATACATACTTTCCCTGTTCAGGGTTCCTGTCTGCTGGGAACGCTCAGTTTATCTATTTCTTGGAAATGGAGTTCTGGTGACTAAGAAAGGAAGGAGTACATGGTCAAGGGAAAGGGAAGGTCAGTGGCTATTGTAAGTGGACAAGGGGAGAGGAAGGAACATGGGATTGTTTTGAAAGTGCTTAATAGAGGAATATAGGAAGTCAGTTTCTTGGTTTCCAATCCAGACAGGAACAAGGCTGGCTAGGTAATTTAATGCCTTAGAGAAGATTTTGTGGATGTTTCAAAATCAGAGCTGGAAGGTGTTTATTTTGGATTAGTTCTGTGAAGGTCAGTGTGGTTGGGTCATAGAAAGTCATTCTGGAGATGAGGGAATCAATATTAGGAATCAGGATCCATGCTGTGGGGGACATAGAACAATGTTGGGTAGAGGAAGCAGGTGTCCTAGACTCAGGGGCTCCCAGCTGAGCCTGTCTCCAAGGCACATTTGAGGTTAAATGGCTCATCCATAAGATTGTTCATTAGTTTTTTTGTTTGTTTTTTGTTTTGTTTTGCTTTGCTTTTTAATTTAACTCAGGACAGAGGGGTTAGAAAAAAATGTGCTTTTATCGTGTTGAAAGGAAAACTTCAAGTTTTTCTTTTTGTTTGTTTGTTTATACTGGGGATTGAACTCAGAGGCACTTTCCCACTGAACTATATCCTGAGCCTTTTTTTTTTTTTTTTTAATTTTTTTTTGTTTTGAGACAGGGTCTCACTAAGTAGCCCAGGCTGGCCTGGAACTTGCAATCCTCCTGCCTCAGCCTCCTAGGTCGCTGGGATTACAGGCCTGCACCACCATGCCCTGTGATCACTTAAACCTTCAACTCTTTATATCAGGATGGTGGTTTGGGTTGGTATGTTGGGAGGTGGGAAGTACTTCTATTAAAGGAAATGTGTTAAGGAACTTGTTGGAAGAAAAATTTTTGTTAGAAATATTGAAAAGTATGTCAAAATGTGTCAGTCTTTTTTTTTTAAAATATTTTGTTTGTTTGTTTTTTTGCAGTTTTATTAGCTGTTACATAAATGAATGTACAACCCGGGAACTAGTTGGGCCTCTTCCCTGTTTTAGTTTTGGGGATTATGAGTCACAACTGCTCCTCCTGTCTTTGCTTTGACATGTAGGTGGTGGCAGGGAGGCAAAATGTAGGAGGACGGACATGGATGTGTGTTCTCAAAGACGAACGGTAGAACCTTTTAGAAGAGACACACGTGCCATAGTATGTGCAGGTTCGGGGTGCCTTTATTCCTCTCAAGGTTTGTGGCCCTGTCAGTTCATTCAGAAAACATTCCACAAGTGACTGGTTTTTTGATGTATTCAAAGGAAAAGAAAATATGATCTGTCTCCCCTCCACCACCACTGTCACCTCTCTTCTGTCCCCTATGAGGTCTTAAAGAGGACACAGAGATCTTGGGCACCAAAGCCTGGGATAGTTCTGAGTTAGTTGAGATGGACTTTGGCCCAGAAATGGGTAGAAGTTCTAAGGGTTCCTCAGGTTGCTAATCCAACTCTCCTCTTGCAGATAGTCAGCCGTGGACATCCGATGAAACGGTGGTGGCCGGCGGCACAGTGGTGCTCAAGTGCCAAGTGAAAGATCACGAGGACTCCTCCTTGCAGTGGTCTAATCCTGCCCAGCAGACTCTCTACTTTGGGGAGAAGAGAGGTAGTGCGCCATGAATTCTCTCTCTCCTAGGGAAACATAGACTGGGTAAGGGGACTGCTGAGCCCGAGGGGTCCTGTCCCTGTGGTCCAGAGACGGAGTAATGTAGAGATGTGCTATCTGGAGAAGCAGCAGACCACAGGCTCCTCCATGGATCCAGAGAAACTTCAGTTCTGCAGCTCTGAACCTGACCACGCAGGGTCCTAGAGAGTCCTAGAGGGGCCTGAGCCCAGAGGAGCCCTACCAGGCAGTTGATATCAGTGTTGTACCAGGCATTTCACAAAGAAGCCGACGAGATCCAACCTCCTTTTCTGAGTCTCTCTTAAGCTACTGGGTCCAGTGGCCCCAAAAAAGTCACTGAATGAGCCAAAGACCGCTCAGACTCAGAAGCAGATTTTTTTTTTTTTTTCTGCCATCCCTACCCCACCAAAGATAGCAGACCTGGGATTGCGAGATAAATAACATGAAAGGTGCCAGTAGAAAACTGGCTTCCCATTTCCCCCCCCCATCTTTCCAGCCCTTCGAGATAATCGGATTCAGCTGGTGAGCTCCACGCCCCACGAGCTCAGCATCAGCATCAGCAACGTGGCCCTGGCAGACGAGGGCGAGTACACCTGCTCCATCTTCACGATGCCTGTGCGAACCGCCAAGTCCCTCGTCACTGTGCTGGGTGAGGCCCCCAGCATGCTTCTTTGCAAACAGCGCCCCCTAGGTGGGCCCCTGCAGCAGCCCAGAGCCAGGCTGGCCTCCAAGAATTTTGAAAGTTTGACGTGCGCTTCCCTTGCACATGGGATAAAAATGCAAAGAGCACCTAAGTTCTAATCCTTTCTGCTGTCGTTACTGTTTGATCTGGGACAAACTTCTTATTTTAAGCAGGCATTTCCTTACTTTGAAGGAGGGATAATCATGTTCGTACCACCTATCTCCCGAAATCGGGTGAGGGGGACAGAAGATGTACATGCATGGTTAATTATCATTTCCAATACAGATATCTCAGGCGTTTATAGACTACCATCTTCATACTGTATTTCGATTTGCTCTTTGCTTCCTTGAGTCTCACAGTATTTCTGTGGCCACTCAGTTGGGCTCTGGGGTGTCCAGTCACATAGTATTTTCTCAGGAATGGTCACCTACCTGCTAGCACGCCTCTTCCTTTATGTCTTCCCTTCTGGTTCTCAGAAAGGAGATCAAAGAGAAAGATGATTTCTCCAGTCTTCTCTTCATCTTTCTAAATCAGAATAGCACCCAGATGTACTGACCCCTAGAGAGGCTATCTCCACAGGGAGAGCTGCAGTGTGACCTCATGGTGCCTCTCCTTCCTATCCTGGCCATCCTCTATCCATGGCAGGAATCCCACAGAAGCCCATCATCACTGGTTACAAATCATCATTACGAGAAAAGGACACAATGACGCTCAACTGTCACTCTTCTGGGAGCAAACCTGCAGCCCAGCTTACCTGGAGGAAGGGTGACCAAGAACTCCATGGTGAGTACCTCCCGCTCGGGCTACGGGAGGAGGAGGGGGGTGTAGGGAAGGTGGGTATATGTCTGTGTATGTGCATATGAGCCATGGGATAGAAAGAGAAAGGGAATGGCTGATATGTGGGTATGTGTCAGGGCCTACAGCTCCATTTGTCAACTGGTTGAACCCAGGGGTCCTTTGTCAATGAGTTACATCCCCAGACCTTTTTATTTTTTATTTTGAGAAGGACCTGGCCAAGTTGCTGAGGCTGGTCTCGATTTTGCAAACCTCCTGCCTCAGTCTCCTGAGTAGCTGGGATTACAAGTAACACCTATCTTCAGTTTGTCTAAGTTGAGACGCACCCTCTGTGTCTTCAGGAGGGCCCACGTGACAGCTGTGTGTTAGGACTCACATCTGTGTGTGTCTTCCTGTTTCTGTTTCCCAGGAGAACCGACCCGAATACAGGAAGACTCCAATGGGAAGACCTTCACCGTGAGCAGCTCGGTGACATTACAGGTTACCCGGGAGGATGACGGAGCAGACATTGTGTGCTCAGTGAACCACGAATCTCTAAAGGGAGCTGACAGATCCACCTCTCAACATATTGAAGTTTTATGTATGTCATGGGCTTGGGGGTGAAGAAGGACCAGGTATGAGTTGGGGGTTGGGTACAAAGGAAAGAGAGCCCAATGTTCATGAGGCACCACACACACACACGGAAGTGAATACGTAAAAAGGAGCCCACAGGTAGCAGTGCTTTAGCTCTTTCTGTAAAGGGCCCAGCAGTAAATATTGTAGCCTAGGAGAGTCCTACAGTCTCTTTCTCGACCACTTAACTCTGCCTTTGCTGCAGGGGAGCAGACACAGGCAGTAGGCAAACAAATGAGCTGGGCTGTGTTCCAATAAAACTTTATTTACAAAGGTGTGCAACTGGCAGGATTTGGTCCAAGGGTCAGTTTACCAACCCCTGAGTTAAGCCAGTGTACCGTAGGCAATTAGATTGCAAATTACAGTGATAACTGGAGCAAATCAGAAGTCCCAGGATATAGTTTCTAGTCTGTCCTCCACCACTTTCTAGCTAAGTGACGTTAAGTTTACCCCACGGAACTTGACTCATTATTTGTGAAACAAGACAGATGGAAAGGGGATCACTGAGGTTTCCTTTGGAGCTAACATTCCATGCCTTCAGAAGAGTACAAATGCAAGGAAAATACAGTCTTCCGGGCACCCATCACCTCTTACCAGATCTTTTCCCAGCTATTCCCACATCTTTTCCCAACTATTCCCAGATCTTTACTCTTCTGTTTGCCCCAGCTCCATGAATTTTCTTGGTCTGCTGAGCTGAAAGGTCCACGGTCACCATCAGTACTCCCACCCTTTCCAGGGATCTATATCCCCTCTATGGAATCTGCCTTTAGAACGGACAGAAACTTCTGAGGAAGTTTGGACACTTGCAAGTTTCTCATCTGAAGAAATAAGGAAATTTTCTGAAAGAACTTTCCTTAGGTACGGAGAACCCAGGGGAAAAGAATAGCCAAAATCCAAAGGTAGAGGATTCAAGAGTAACAGAATAGTGGATTTCTTGACCTAAAGTAAAAAAAAAAAAAAAAAAAAAAACAGTTGGGCAGCTTTTGCAAATAACTGAAGTCCTTAACCTCTTTATGGGATAATCAGGTGGAGCATTCTTCTTAACTTCAATGCCATTTCATCAATGGCTAGACCCACTATTCAAACTTGAACATGAAGTAGGTGCAGAGTAGCACCACTGACCATTCGGAGGGTACTCAGTCTGCACACGGATGAGCTGGCCGCAGTGCCCTTGCTTACTAGCTATGTTATCTTGACCAAAGCTTCATTTCTCTGTGCCTCCTGCTGGCTTCACTGAGTTATCCTGAGGATTAGATGAAACAATACATATGAAAAGAACTCTTGTAAACTTCAAAGGACCCCATAATCACCAGCTCTGAGTGTGAGGCTCCTGGCCTTGGGCATTTCCCCTGAGCCCTGTTCTCTGGCCAGGTAAAGAAGGCCCTTTCCTGTCTTAACTCCTCTGTGAGAATCCAGACCATCTGGCAATTACTCTCCAGGGATCTTTTGGCCCAAGCGTGGATCAGCAGTCAGGCAACAAATGTTGTACTCCAGGCACTGTGCTAGAGGTTTCTGCGGCTGTGGGGGGCCCAGAACACCCATTCTCTCACCTGGCCTGACTCTCTTTGGCCTGTTTTATTTGATTGGAACACGTTCATTAACTGGTTGTTAAGGTTGGCTTTTTCCTTAGGGGAAGCACAGTCTCTTTATCTGCCGTTCTAAACCAGCATATGGTGGCATTGTTCTAAGCCACCATCTGCACCCAGCCTCTTAAGCAGCCCTTTGGCGTCAATGGCAGATGCCATTATTCCTTCCCAGAGCTCATCTATATTGTGTCAGTCCATTTTTGCAGCCAAAATATGACACCTCCCCCCTCCATCTCTTGCTGTTTCAAAGCTCTCATTTTGTGTTTGGACTGACCCTTCGAAGTGCTGTTTTGTGTTCAAACGTTGCTGCCGGTTCTAAGCTCCCTGGCGGAGTACACAAAACTTAGAGGTTTTTGAACTCTGTCAGCGTCAAGTTCAGGTGCCTTTGTTCCATTAAAAATATGCATTAGGTCCTGTCGGTGTGCAAGGCCGTTGGCGAGGCATGAATAAAACGCTTATTCCCCTTCTCAGCTCTGTGAAGACCTCCGGTCTGCCCCACCAAGGGCAGACCTTCTGAGACCACCCCATGTCTAGGTGGTTAGTCTCAGGGAAGGAAAGCCTCTTAGGGTTTGGAGACATTGATGGGTAAAAGCCATAGTGTGTAACTGGGTGATTTCAAGATTGGGGAGATGTCCTAAGTAGGAACGGGGAATTTTGTGTTGACAACCTCTCCTTCCTCACAGACACACCGACTGCAATGATCAGGCCGGACCCTCCACATCCCCGTGAAGGACAGAAGCTGTCGCTGCACTGTGAGGGTCGAGGCAATCCCGTGTAAGACCCGCCTGCTGGCCTCCTGTACCTCCACACTCTCAGATTGTCACCTTCACCGGATGTCTTCTTCCATCTCCCCTGCACTGTCCCAGCTGAGCCTCCAACCCTCTGACTCTGTCCAACATCCATCCTTTGAGCGTTTCTTCTGAAACACATCAGAAGTGGGTGGGGACACCTCTCTAGCTTAGCGCCTTAGCCTCTCCCGAGGAACCGAGTTATAGTAAGATGTGACTTTAGGAAATCTCCTCCTCTTTTAGCATTAGCCCAAGAGGCCACCTTCCCCCCACCCGCCGCCTCTGGAACCCTCAGCATCCTACCGCTTCTTGAGCCTTATCCGTTCCTGACTTCCCTTCTCCCCATTTATTTTTCTTTCTCCAGCCCCCTGGCTTAGGCTCTCCTTAACACTTGTAATTGTTCTACTCCAACAGCCCCCAGAAGTACCTCTGGATGAAGGAGGGCAGTGACCCGCCCCTGAAGACCACCCAGGAGAGCGCCCTCATCTTCCCCTTCCTCAACAAGAGTGACAGCGGCATCTACGGCTGCACTGCCATCAGCAACATGGGCAGCTACACGGCCTACTTCACTCTCAATGTCAACGGTGAGCTCTCCAGGTCCCCTCTCCCAGCGTCTCCCTTCTCTCTGCATCTCACACTCTTCTTCTTCCCACTTCCCGAGAGCTCTCCCCTCACCTGGATTGGGAGTGGAGTTAAGGAAAAATAGCTCGCTCCCGGGAGGGCTGAGGACTGAGGCTCTAGGTCTACTCTGGGATGTGTGATAAGGGAAAATCAGTGAAAGGGTGGGTTCTCACCTGCCTTTGTCTAGAAACTGCGGCTCTACTGGTACCATCTTCCAACCTCAGGAGGATAACTCTGCACCTGGAGGCCCTGGAGCCTGTCAGGTTCAAGTGTACGTGTATCTCCCAGGCCAACAAGTTGATCTCAGAGTTCCTCCTTCCAGGACTAACTATCAGATGCAGGTTGCTGCTGTCGTTTCCAGATTTTGGGGAGTAGTACGCTACTGGGTCCGGGCTGAAAAACAAGAGAGAAACTTATACTGTGCAGAGAAAGAGTCAGGATCTTTTCTCAGCTGCTGTATTTTCTAGAGGGACCAGTGGATGCTCCTTTTCTGAAGTTCTTCTCAAAACTGCAACCACCAAACCCAGGAAAGAGTTCCCTTCTAGGACACTTTGCAAAGAATTCTTTTTAAGATTCAGCAGAGTCAATGGCAGCAGAGTCCTGCCAGAAAGTCTTGCGAACTTTTCTGCAGTATAGGGAAAATGCATTGTCATGGGAACTTCAGAGACTCTCTGACTTGAAATGCCCATTAATACAGTATGTGCGTGCATGCGTGTGCGTGTGTGTGTGTGTGTGTGTGTGTATGTGTGTTGGGCCTGGGGGGATAAGAGCCGAGTTCCGGGAGATAAGAGGCCTGAGTTCTTGGGACCAGAATGTCTAGATGGGTGATTCCAACTTCAGGAGCCAATCACAGCATGGGGGAGCTGCTTCGGCACAACAAACAGGGCTATTGTAAGATGCCAGGAGCAAAGACAAAGAACTGAGGTCTGGTCTCTGCCCCCAGATCACTCCAGACCAAGTCTGACGGTGATTGGCAGTGAGAGAAAGTTCTTGTGTCCTGCAGCTGGTATCTTGCTGATCTCCTCTCTCTGCCCAGTGCTTAAAAGCCCAGAGGGAGTCCCGTTTGATTCATGTGCTGCCAGTGCTGACGCCTGGTGGCCAACAGAGTTACTGCATTTGGCTTCCAGGAACATCCAAGTGGAAAACTTGCCAAGGATGAAATTAAATATAGAGACAGGGGCTCTACCGAGGTCATTTGGCAGTGGAAACTTGTGCTCTTCTAAAGCATTTCCACATCCATAGTTTCTGGAATAATTATCCAGGATTAATTTTCGATGTGTACACTGTCTCATATATGATTTCAGAAGGAAATAGTGTGTTAAACTCCTTCAGCTGCCTCCAGGTTATACCATCACATCCACCCGATCCTCTCATGGTACACAGGGACCCATCCTCTCCCTATCTCTTAAGCGGGACACGAGAAACCAGTGAACAAGCCAGGAATGGTGGCATGCCTTTGTAATCCCTGTGACTTGGGAGGCGTGAGCAGGAGGATCACAACTTCAAAGCCAGCCTCAGTAACTTAGCGAGGCTCTGAGCAACTTAGAGAGACTCTGTCTCAAAATAAAAATCAATCAATAAAAATTAAGGACTGGAGATGTAGATCAGCAGCCCTGGATTCCATGTTTGCTTTTCAAATAAGTCATAAACAAGCAAGGAACTAAAAACCATGTCTACTCAAGCCTGAGAAGACAGAGATAGGAAAGTTTTTTTAAAAAAAAAAAAAAGTATAGAAATGGTCAATGAGACATCCAGACTCAAGCTGAGTTTTGAAAAGCAAAGCAGTAAAACAGTAGCTCTCCCATGGGTGGGAGAACTACAGCTGTGGCTAATGTAATTTTGGATACCTCGGAGCCATGTCCTGGGCCTGTGTACTGGCCTTTGGATATTTGAGTCCCTGTTTACGGCTGGGGCTGTTTTTGCCACACCCATCCCCTGTTGCTATGGGGATCCAGTGGCAGAGACACCAACTGTCATGGGAGAAAACAAGTCCGTCCTTGTCCCTTGACCCTTGGATGGTGATCAGTGCAGTCGGAATCCCATGCCTCCTTGTTGAGACAGGCCAAAAGGCCGTAGGCTTACTGGAGCATTAAGATTTCCTGCCGAGAAGGAACACTCTTCTTTATGCTAAGCAGATATCTCATGGTTGTTACTGATGGTTTCTGTGCTTGTGGTGCTGGGGATGGAACCTGGGGCCTCCACCTACAAGTCCAGGGCTCGACCCCTGACCTCCATCCCCAGCGCATTTTAGTTTTTATTTGGAGAAAGGGTCTTGCTGAGTCTCCAAGACGGGTCTCAAGCTTTCCATCTTTTGGTTTCACTCTCCCAAATCGTGGGGTTCCAGGTGTGGGCCACCGCACAGGGTTGAAGTGGGCTGCATTGGCTTTTCACTGTTCTTTCCCTGTCTGATCTCAGGGTGGTAGGAAACGAGGCTGAGAAGCCCCCTAAAGAACTAGCTCCGAATCCCATTTAGACCGGAGGGTAAGAGGGCATGGCCTAAGGGGAAGGAACAATTGATCACCCACAAGTGAGAAAGAAAGAGAGGTTGGTAACAGGCATTAAAGCAATGGTCTTTGATCAAGGGCAAGTTTTGGTGCCAAAAAAAAAA